TGCAGCATGAGCATCCCCCCCGGGGGGGGATTTCTTGCTTTCTCTCTCTGTCTCTCTCTGTCTGGCAAGTGCACATGCCCTATGCAAAAATCTCTGAAAAAACATAAAAATGTAAAAATATTGCTTTACAAAAAGCTTTTCAACCACCATGGCCAAACCAACATTTTGATACTAGAAATTCCGTTAACCTATAATTTTGGTCATTTTGTTTAAGGTTTTGTCCCTACATATAGATTCAAATATCTTTCAAGCCTCATTATTGCCATATATACTATAGTATAGACTGAATGAGTTACTTAGTCTTATCTTGCAAGTTTTTATTTTAATAAAAAAGATATGAAGAACTTGAAAACACTATAGAGAGAAGCTAAAATCAGCACTGAGAAGGAACAAATAAGGAGAAAATTGCTAAAATCAGCACTGAGAAGGAACAAAGAAGGAGAAAATTGTGGAGGAAATAGAAAGGAAAGAAAGTACTATTGTTATTTATTTATCCAGTTAGCATTTATCTCCAAGCACTGAGGAATTATATATAGAGCACAAAATGGACTGGTGTTAATAGATGATACTAACCAATTCTGCATATTTTAATGTTTTATTATTTGGATGTTGTTCATTTTCAATAGATAAGCTAACTCCAGGAAAATTATTTTAGTCGAACTTAAAGGGACATTTTAGTTAGTTTTAAATGTGTCAATTTTTGTTATAGATTGAATCAGACTTATTAAGGTATATCAAAAAGTAAGACAAAATTAATAGAATATTGGCAACTTACATATCACCAGTGAGTACATTTTTCTAAGGCTTTTTTCTTTTAATTCTTTCAGCAAACAGGATTTTGAGTCTACAGATGAGGTAAGTGCCAAAATAGTTGAAAATCAAATATAGTAGATAACAAAGTAGATTCTGATAGTTGCTGTAATAATATTCCTGTATTTTAATCTTTGTTAGGTTAGAAACACAGATTAGTAAAAAACTAATAATCATTTGCCTTTAACATGTGCAACCATTTACATATTTGTAATGACTAGAAAACTAATAACCAATTACAAAAATCTTTTATCAGTGATTGTTTTATGATTTAATTTGTCTTTGCATAACAGAACATTAAAAGTTTATTGACTGCATACTCTTTGCTTTAGAAAACTGAAATATACATGATTAGCTAAATAAATAGCAAATTTAGCTCTGATATGTTTCAAAATCTTGTATGTCCATGCCAAATAGCCAGAAACTTGAGGTAAAAATTTTTCTAGTATGAATTCTGCTACATGTGAACATTTTGTTAATAATTTATTTGAATGGAATAATCAAACAGAAAAAACTGATTTTAATGCAATAAAAAGTGCAATTACCTCTTTTATGTTCATTTTTATCTTTATTTCTGATGTATTGGTATACTACACTCATCACAATATTCAGTAAGTCCTAAATTGCTTTTAAGAAGCACTTACTTCAATTCAATCTCTCACTTAAGATTAGTTGAAGATGCTCAATGTTGCTGTGGTAACAACGTAATCTTGCAAAAGTCACCACAGCTCTGTGTAAATTTTCAGTAAACCTTGTAGCACACTTTATTTCCCAAAGTTTTCATTATTTAAATATTAGCCTCTAAAATGTCATATTTACCTCCCAGCAAAACTTCTAGTTGCTAAAACTACCTTGAATAAAGTATTCGATAGAATTTAATAGACTATGTTGGTTTGTAATTGTTCTTTTTAAAAATATAAATGGGGAAACAGCAAGTGGTGTGGTGGTTAAGGTGCTGGACTCCCACATGGTCGAACCCTGTTGGAGCCCCGGACAAGGTTGGCTTGGTTTCTCACTTTCCCTCGCTCTCTGTCTCTTTCTCTTTCTGGTCAAATTAAAGAATAATGATAATAAATAAATAAATAAATAAATAAATAAATCTTTAAAAATAAATAAATAAAAGTAAAAATATAAATATGAAACGTAATTGGTTACCCAAAGCTTTTCCATGAAATACTAGAATTTAGAATTTTTCCATGATGAATAAAGAATAATAGTTTTTTTTTTCCCTTAAAGAAAGAACTAATCAGGCTAGAAATTAAGTTCATAATATGTATTTCTTAAAAAGTGATTTACTATTTTAACATCTCTAAAAATGCCCCACTACACGAAAGTATGTGAACTGCTAATCCTAAAATTAAAATAGGAATGTGTATCTATACGATGAATAAGTCTCTCTTTTTTTTACAGTCTGAAGATGTTGAATCATTAATTCCTAAAGGATTGTCAGAGTTTACAAAACAGCAAATTCGCTATATTCTGCAGGTGAGATGGGGTCAGGCATGGATATGCAAGGTCAATAAACTGCTTCTTAGGATGCTTCCCTTAATTAAGGAAAAAAAGTCTCAAGTAAAATCATGTTTCACAAGAATTGATTATACTTTGATTAGACAAAGGTTGCATTATAGTTTAGTCAGACCATCAGAAACTAGTATTGAGGGCCGGCTCTATGGCCTGGTGGTTAAAAGTGCTATATTCCGTATAGCTGACAACATGGTTTGAATTGCAACCCTAGCCACTTGAGAAACATCTCCAGGCCATGTGTATATGTGCCCCAAATCCCAACAGGATGGAGAAATGGAGAAGTGATCGCAGCATGACCAGACCCCATCAGAGGTGTTTTCTTTTTCTCTTCCCCTATTTTTCTCTCTCTCATATGTGCCTTCTGGAAAACACTTGAACATCCATGTTTATTGTAGCATTATTCACAATTGCTAAGACATGGAGCTCAAATGTCCAAGAACAGATTAATGGATTGAAAAAATGTGAGACATATACATTATGGAACACTACTCAACCATAAAAAAACAGTGAACCCCTGACATTTGATATAAAGTGAGTGAATATGAAAGATTTAATGCTAAATGAAGCAAGTCAGACTATGAAAGAGAGGCATTGTATGTCCCTGTTAAGTATATACTGAATGTCTGCACCTCATGCAGAAACCGAAAGATTATTAGATATAAAGCAGGGAGGGCAACTGAAGATAACAGAGACAATATAATAGGTGGGTGGGCAATAGAGGGTGGGAGGGAAGGGTTCAGAGGAAACAAACATTTAACAGAAACAAAAATGAAAAGTTATCTGTTAATGATAATGTACGTGATAATATCTTGACTGATATGCACTGTATTCATGCTGTGAAAAATCATTTTATATGCTGTGAAAATGTACAATAATTAAACACAAATAAATAAAAAACTAAAAAGGAACTTTTGAAATAATTCTAACATTTCTGTTTTCATGATGTTGGCATCCATTGTTTTCTCTTATCTATTTAAGATTTTCCTTGTTTTTGACACTTTTGTTACTGTGGTATGACAATTGATCTTATTCAAATATTCTATTTAAGCAGACCCCCTTTAATACTAGAAATAGTAGAGGAGGAGCACTGCCCATTGCTGCAAGTGAGTGTACACGTCTAGGTATCCACACCAAAGTTTTCACAGTTTTAGTGTAATAGGATGAATGCCTGTGCTCTCTTCATGTTCTCCACCAATACCACAGTTCTGGGAGTTTCATTTTTGCCCAGTGAGACTGAAAGTCTAATCTCTCTACTCTGGCTTCTCTGGAAGCAATCTGGTAAATGGTGTCAATGTGTTTTCTTAGAACCTCATGAAAAGTGCAGTGTAGGCTTCTCTTTCACTTTTGATGGAGTCAAGCTTTTTTCTATGGTGTTTGGCTGGAATATAGTGGTTATCATCCAAAAATTATCTGTCTCACTAGGTTGCTCCTTTGACTAGGCTGTCCTTCAGCTAGGCAGAGAGAACCCTTTCCTCAAGGCTTTTATTGTCAGGATCCATTGGTACATCTGTTTTACAAGATTCCCCAACATCAGTCTTTAATACATGAAACAAAAAGAAAATATAGGAACTCATTGCTGAATTATTCCTCAGCTCCTAACGTTCCTAATGTCTTCTTTTTTTTTTTCGCCATTTTATGTATATTGTTCAGGGTTTTTATTGTACTTAGCAGGAGGAATAGGGAGAAATATTTCCACTTCCTGGTCCCAGAAGTTTAAGTTGCCTATTTTTAAAATAATTTTTCTTTAAAGAAATGAGAAAAATGTAATGAAAAGGCTTTCTCTCTCATCTTTAAAATGTGAAATTTTTCTACATTTCAAAGTTAAACTTAATTAGTATTAAAGTCACTTCAGGCAAAATCCATACACTTGGCAGCACTCTCGGGAAGACTCATTTTATTATTTGAAGGTTAGTGTTTTCATCTTTCTAATCTTTTCAATAAAAAACAAAACTAAGATTGAGAATTTGTTGAGAAAAGTTTGCCTTGTAATAAAGATGACACTTTGGGGGACAGCAGATGGCATAGTGGTTATGTCACTGAACTCCCATATGCCAACTGCAGTTTGAGTCCCAGACTCGGTGGCTTGAAACTCATGGTGGGTGCATGTGAGTGTGTGTGCAATATCCCAGAAGGAGAATGGAGGAGGAAGGGATTGTGGCATGACCATCCCCCCTGGGGGTGATTTCTCATTTTCCCTCTCACTGTCTCTGTCTGTCTCTCTTTCTGGCAAACACGAGTACCCTAAGGCAAAAACATCTAAAAAGTAATAAAAAAAATTTAAATTTTCTTTTAAAAAAAAATGACAAAATCATGGAAGAAAGCAAATCCTTATTCTAAATATATAGCTATGGTCTCTTCAGAGACCATTATTGACAGCATGCTATCACTAATATTGCCATATCAAAATTAGAATTGTTAATAAGTTTGCTAGTAGAAACAGAAAAATAAGATTGCTTTCACTCTTAGTGCCTATTTTCAAATGTTAGTAAAATAAATCCTCAACTGTTTTCTTCCTCCAGATGAGGAGTATGTCTGATAAGTCACTAAGGCTAGTACTATCCACATTCAGCAACATACGGGAGGAGCTTGGACATCTTCAAAATGACTTGGCAGTAAGATTTATTTTGATTTTTATTTACAAAACCTTTCTAGTTTCTACCTTCCTAGCATAAAATTTAGAACATGAAGTCTATCTTTAAAAAAAATTAATACTGGGGCCAGCAGGTGGCTTAGTGGTTAGGGGGCTGTATTCCCACATTGGTGATTCAGTTTTGTTTCCTGGACCTGGAAGCTTGAGACACGCCAGGCAAGTGTACATGTGGGCCCTAAATCCCAAGAGGATAATGGAGGAAAAAGGAATGTGGTGTGGCCACCCCGAGAGGTAATTTCTCACTTTCTGTCTCTGCATGCACCCTATAGCAAAAATCTAAAAAACATAAATAAATAAATAATACTACACAACAGTAATTATGCACATCTAGCATCTAGACATAGCTAAATTATTTTCTTTAAATACTTGGGGATGAGAGAAGTAAAAAGAACAGCCCAACATGTAAATGAAAGAATGTTGGGTATGCACATATTATTTAGTTTACCTCTAAAGTTATTTAATGCTTGAAGTCAGAGAGTAGCCTGCAAATTTAGGATAATCTGACTCATTGAATGGTAATATTTTTCTTTTCTGTAATAATAAATTTTTCTGAATTCCTCTTCAAACATGATAATACAAAAGCTTCTTTCTTAGGTGTTCTTAATGCTGTCAGCTAGGTACATTGAGAATGCTTTCTATACAAAGTGTAACTCCTTGGGGCCAGCAGATGGCATGATGGTGACATCACTGCACTCCCACATAGCCAGTTCAAATCCCAGACCAAGTGGCTTGAAACTCATTCCAGGAGCATGTGCATGCATGGCCAAACTCTTGAGAGGAGAATGAAGGAGACAGGATTGCACTGTGGCCACCCCGGCCAGGGAGGAGGTGATTTCTCACTTTCTGTCTCTCTGTGAAGTGCACACACCCTATAGCAAAAATATCTCTCTAAAAAAGAAAGTATAACTCTTGAAAACTTTGGAGTGTGTTTGTTTCTGGGTTTTCATGAACATATTTAGAGTCTAATTTGGAAATTTACCACTTGCTGGAATTAATAAGGAGTCTGTATAGACTGGGAAAAATATTAAAATAATTCAGAAGTTTCCACTTCATTGCATAAAGTTAGTCAATAAATCAAAATGTCTCTTTGAATGCAAATTTTAAAAGTACCAGTCCTTTTCTAGCCCATATTTTAGTTAACTTTTAAGGATTCCATTTTATTAAGCAACTACAAATGAAATAAGAGCTTATTTAAATTTTCCAATGTAAACAAATCTATATTATGTGACTATTGACAAGTTTCTGTAATTCTGAGTTACAATACATAATTTATGATTCTAGTCACTAGAAAATGACAAGATAAGACTTGAGAAAGATTTGGCCTTCAAAGAAAGTCAAATGAAAGAGTATGAAGAACTTTTGGCATCAGTAAGAGCAAATAATCGCCAACAGCAGGTATGTTGATGCTTTTACTAATGATAAACTAGATTGATAGCTTTTAATATGCATACTACTGGCACACTGGAGCTATGAGATACAATCCATATTGAATTAACATATGATGGGACAATGTATTTATATGAGAATCAAGTGGCTTTGGGTGTTTCCAATGACTGAAAAAGCCCTCTCAGCAAAACCTAACTTTGCATATTTTACATATAAAGTAGATACAATGCACAATATCTGTATTGTCGGGTGACAAGAATTGCATAAATACTTAAACTCCAGATCCACTCATTCATTTAATGTGTTAAAGTGTGCATGAAAAAAAAAAAGCTTTTGTAGAACTTAATACATGATCATTCAGTGAATAAATGAACGGGTAGTTCTCCAGATGTCTGAACAGACATGATGTCTAGGAAAGTGTAATAAGGCTTACTCCTTCCTAGTCTTCACTACCATGATTGTTCCCAATTCTTGCTCAGTTGTTAGTTGTCATATAAATAATCAGTCATATGATTATTTTAGCACTTGCTAGCAGGCATGATACAGTATCATCAAAGAGTTTAAAGAGTATGATTAATAAATTGAGAGACTGAAAATTCATCCAGTCTTGATTTCTTCTCATGTGTATTAAACATGTCCTAAAACCCAAAGAGGTTAATGGAGGAAAAGGAATGTGGTGTGGCCACCCCGAGAGGTAATTTCTCACTTTCTGTCTCTGCATGCACCCTATAGCAAAAATCTAAAAAACATAAATAAATAAATAATACTACACAACAGTAATTATGCACATCTAGCATCTAGACATAGCTAAATTATTTTCTTTAAATACTTGGGGATGAGAGAAGTAAAAAGAACAGCCCAACATGTAAATGAAAGAATGTTGGGTATGCACATATTATTTAGTTTACCTCTAAAGTTATTTAATGCTTGAAGTCAGAGAGTAGCCTGCAAATTTAAGATAATCTGACTCATTGAATGGTAATATTTTTCTTTTCTGTAATAATAAATTTTTCTGAATTCCTCTTCAAACATGATAATACAAAAGCTTCTTTCTTAGGTGTTCTTAATGCTGTCAGCTAGGTACATTGAGAATGCTTTCTATACAAAGTGTAACTCCTTGGGGCCAGCAGATGGCATGATGGTGACATCACTGCACTCCCACATAGCCAGTTCAAATCCCAGACCAAGTGGCTTGAAACTCATTCCAGGAGCATGTGCATGCATGGCCAAACTCTTGAGAGGAGAATGAAGGAGACAGGATTGCACTGTGGCCACCCCGGCCAGGGAGGAGGTGATTTCTCACTTTCTGTCTCTCTGTGAAGTGCACACACCCTATAGCAAAAATATCTCTCTAAAAAAGAAAGTAAAACTCTTGAAAACTTTGGAGTGTGTTTGTTTCTGGGTTTTCATGAACATATTTAGAGTCTAATTTGGAAATTTACCACTTGCTGGAATTAATAAGGAGTCTGTATAGACTGGGAAAAATATTAAAATAATTCAGAAGTTTCCACTTCATTGCATAAAGTTAGTCAATAAATCAAAATGTCTCTTTGAATGCAAATTTTAAAAGTACCAGTCCTTTTCTAGCCCATATTTTAGTTAACTTTTAAGGATTCCATTTTATTAAGCAACTACAAATGAAATAAGAGCTTATTTAAATTTTCCAATGTAAACAAATCTATATTATGTGACTATTGACAAGTTTCTGTAATTCTGAGTTACAATACATAATTTATGATTCTAGTCACTAGAAAATGACAAGATAAGACTTGAGAAAGATTTGGCCTTCAAAGAAAGTCAAATGAAAGAGTATGAAGAACTTTTGGCATCAGTAAGAGCAAATAATCGCCAACAGCAGGTATGTTGATGCTTTTACTAATGATAAACTAGATTGATAGCTTTTAATATGCATACTACTGGCACACTGGAGCTATGAGATACAATCCATATTGAATTAACATATGATGGGACAATGTATTTATATGAGAATCAAGTGGCTTTGGGTGTTTCCAATGACTGAAAAAGCCCTCTCAGCAAAACCTAACTTTGCATATTTTACATATAAAGTAGATACAATGCACAATATCTGTATTGTCGGGTGACAAGAATTGCATAAATACTTAAACTCCAGATCCACTCATTCATTTAATGTGTTAAAGTGTGCATGAAAAAAAAAAAGCTTTTGTAGAACTTAATACATGATCATTCAGTGAATAAATGAACGGGTAGTTCTCCAGATGTCTGAACAGACATGATGTCTAGGAAAGTGTAATAAGGCTTACTCCTTCCTAGTCTTCACTACCATGATTGTTCCCAATTCTTGCTCAGTTGTTAGTTGTCATATAAATAATCAGTCATATGATTATTTTAGCACTTGCTAGCAGGCATGATACAGTATCATCAAAGAGTTTAAAGAGTATGATTAATAAATTGAGAGACTGAAAATTCATCCAGTCTTGATTTCTTCTCATGTGTATTAAACATGTGAGACTAGGGAAAAGGCTCCATAATATCTTCCGTGGCAGATTTAATTTACCATCTAAGGTCAACAATATGAGAAAGTTAGGCATAGAAAAACTGCATACTTATTTGAGTGAATGAATCAATTAAAAGGAATACTACCCACAAAAAGGAAACCACATTTAGCTTTGTGCAGTGGCAGTATCATAGCCAATGAGGTTTATCTGAGGCGCGATTATTGCTAATTGAAAAAGTAAACCACATTTGTCTCACATATTTATGTCTTCCTTACAGCAAGGACTTCAAGACTCAAGCTCAAAATGCCAGGCATTGGAAGAAAACATTCTCTCTCTTCGTCATACACTGTCAGATATGGAATACAGACTAAAAGAACTGGAATATTGCAAACGTAATTTAGAGCAAGAGAATAAAAACCTTAGAATGCAGGTATAAGAACTGTGTTTTAAACATGTAGTATCACCTAGTTATACCACTGTAATCCTAGCCTTGGTAATAATAATACAAATAGTTATATGAAGGAGGTCTTCAAAAAACATGGGAAATGCATATGATAAAAAAGTGCATGGATTTCATTTTTTGTACCAAAATAGGCTCATAATTTAATTCTTTAAATTATAAGTTCCATTAGATATGAGTTTAAGTGAAAAAATTTGAAATTCATGGAGAGCTTGTAAATTTTAAATTTTTGAAGCCCTCATATATATCCTATTCATCTTGAGAAAATACATGGACTTCTTTGTGATGACCTCAAACATAGTTTTGACCTCACTAACATTGAGCTTTATAGTGCATTTTTAAAAATCACTCTTATTTTATTTTTTTATTTATTTATTTTTACAGTTTTTTTGCCCTAGGGTGTGTTCCCTTGTTGCAGAGAGAGAGAGAGAGAGAGACAGAAACAGTGAGAAAGAAAGTGAGAAATCACCTCCAAAGAGGGAAGACCACTCCACAATCCCTTTTTATCCATTCTCCTCCTGGGATCATGGGCACACACTCATACAAACTCAGCATGATTTTCAAGCTACCTGGTCTGGGACTCCAACTGCATCAGCTATGCAACCTGCTGTCCCAAAATCACTCCTATTTTTAAATACCTTATTCGATCATGTGATTTTCATCCAATAATAAACCTTGTGACATAATATGTATTTCCTTCATACCAATCCAGTTATGAGACGTTATTTTGTTTTGTATAGGTTTCTGAGACTTGCAAAGGCCCAATGCTGCAGACTAAAATGGATGAGATTGGTAACCATTATATGGAGATGGTAAAGAATTTGAGAACAGAGAAGGACAGAGAGATCTGCAAGCTAAGGGTATGTCAATACTACATTATATAAATTCATAGATCAGTACAAACTTCCTAGAAAAATGATGATGATTTCAAGTTTAAAGCTACAAAGAAAAAACCACTGAAGGTAGAATTTCAGGAAAGTGTCACAAAACCTTTTGTTTAAGGATACATTACTGTATGTAAGTGTTATTATTAAATTGTTTTCTAATTTAGCTCAACCTCTTCTAGGAAAGTAAAAGAAGACATTAAGTTCATTGTTTTGATTTTTTATTAATTTATTTTGGGGGCATAAGCTGGAAACCCTTTAATCTTATTTTGCCTAAAACTTGCCTATGCGGGCAAGATCAATATTTGAAATTATCCAGCAAAGTCACATTTGGATTAATAAAAAATCCTCACTTAACTTTGAGGGATGATAAATGGCAAGGACTTTGTCAAGAACAATGTTAAAAACAATGTTGAATTTTACATACCTGTAATTGGCATCAAAATTAGGGTGACCTTTGTGAGAATAAGCATACATCACCTTATGTTGTTCCTCCGTGCTGGGTTGAATTGATTTACTGATTCCTAAATTTACTCCTATATGGCATGTATACTTGCTTTAGACAGAGAGAGAGAGAGAGAAACAAAGAAGGTGAAGGCATGGCCATACCACAATCCCTTTCTCTCCATTCTCAGTTTGGGATTTTGGGGTATTCATGCACACACAGCCGAGCATGATTTTCAAGCCATCGCAAAGTCAGCCATATGGGATCCAGCTGCCCCAATCTACGTGCCACCCACTGGACCTATATACTTGCTTTAGACAGAGAGAGAGAGAGAGAAACAAAGAAGGTGAAGGCATGGCCATACCACAATCCCTTTCTCTCCATTCTCAGTTTGGGATTTTGGGGTATTCATGCACACACAGCCGAGCATGATTTTCAAGCCATCGCAAAGTCAGCCATATGGGATCCAGCTGCCCCAATCTACGTGCCACCCACTGGACCTATATTTAAGTATTTTAATGGACAAAATGATCACATTTTTTTCTTTCCAAATATCAATGTGCAATCTTTATAAAAAAAAATCAAAACATAATTCGTTATAAAACCTACTGATTCTTCCAGCAGATTTTTTGCACTGGTTTCTGCTCCACCACAACACTACAAATAGCACTTTAACCTAACAACCATCTGTGTACACACATATGGTAAAGAATAAAATGGACCAGTCTTGTCATTAGGAGACTTGTCTTAGAGTTGTAGTCATATAATTTGTGACCGTCATTTAACCTCTCTGTAACTCATTTACCTGATTTATAAATGAAGATTATAATAATGTTTATCTCACAAGGCTGCTGTGAGGTCTGAGATGAATCATGCAGAAGGAATACAAGTTAACTAAAAATCATAATGCAATATTAGTTATTAGTATTGGGTTCACTTTAAATAGTATTTGAAGGAATCTAAAGTGTCTTGCTCTGTTAGCTTTATTTTCATTCTTTTGACACAGTACTGTTACTTGACGATGCTTAGTCCTAAATAGCAAAGGCACCTTTCAAAAAGCATAAATTCCTGGGAACCAGCAGTTAGCGTAATGGCTATGTCGCTGGACTCCCACGTAGTCGACCGCGGTTCACGTCCTGGACCCGGTGGCTTAAAACTCACGCCGGGCGCGTGTGCGTGCGTGCCCAAGATCCCGAGAGGAGAATGGAGGAGAAGGGATTGCGGCGTGACCATCCCCCCTGGGGGGTGATTTCTCGCTTTCTGTCTCTATGTCTCTCTCTGTCTGTCTGGCGAGCACACACGCCCTACAGTGAAAATCTCTCCAAAAAAAAAAAAGCATAAATTCCTAACTGATATTTTCAATTCATATTTACGTTCATAAAATTCCATAGAAGTTTATAAATATTAGTATTTTGCTTTTTATTTCATAACTAGTTGTGTGACTTGTATCACTAAGTCTCTCTAGAACTCAGTTAAATATTTTATAAGTAGGGTTTATAATAATACTTATTTCTTTTTAAATCCTAGTCCCAGTTAAACCAGTACCAAAAAGACGTTTCAAGAAGAGAAGGAAATTGTAGTGATTTCCAATTCAAGCTTCATGAACTGACAAGCTTACTGGAAGAGAAGGATTCCCTTATAAAGCGTCAGTCAGAGGTAAGAAAGGAACGGCTGTGGATGGAGAGGAATAATACAACTCAGTCCTGTGGGATAAATACTTCCCATGAACTAGAAAATGCTGCATTTCTAAGACTCACTTTATTACATGAAATGGAAAGTAAGTGCACATGAAGAAGTAAAAGATTCATACTTCCAGAGAAAGAATACAAATGTGAGCTAGAATTGAAGAAAAATTAAAGACTATAGCACATTTTGAAGACATTGACTTTAGATCTCATTAGTATTGAAACTCCTAATAAGACTGTGATGTCCTTACTGTGAGCTGCTTCAACACGGGACTGTGTTATGTTTCTTCCTGTATCTGTAGAACATAACCCAGGACCTGGCATAAAACAGGTACTGAAACTACCAAACATGGTGGCTAATAGTGCATTGCTATTAATGAACAAATGGTGCATGTAGTAACATTCAGTGATTTCTGTTAAAACTATATTTGTTTCCATATTGAAGTTTCAATGCGTTTCTGCTATGGATATACTTTTTCTCTTTTTTTAGAGAAAGATTCTTTTGCTATAGGGTGCATGCACTCACTGGAGAGACAGACAGAGAGAAAGTGAAAATAGCCACCCCACAGGGAGAATGGTCACATTGCAATCCCTTCTCCATTCTCTTCTCAGGATTTGGGGAATGCACACACACACACACACCTGGCATGAGTTTCAAGCCACCAGGTCCGGGTCTTGAACTGTGGTTGGCCACGTGGGAGTACAAAAATATAACCATTACACCATCTGCTGGTCCTATGGATATACTTTTAAAGCTTTTTAGGACAGAACTTTTCTTATTCTCACTTTGAGGGCCATGCTCACTTGATCTCAAGTCATCTTCCAAATACAGACACCTTACATCAGTTAGTGAAGTCCTGCACAAGAATATAACATAACTTATAGGTACCATGAACAACAATATATGATACTCAACAAATGGTATTAGAATATTATCTAAGGCTAAAAAGGAAGGAAGGGTAGGTAATTATTCTTATTAATCTTGCTAAATATTCAAACATACTTTTTGCCTCATGTTTCTACTTTTCTTCAAATGATTATGTTGTCTTTTATTTGTAAGGAACTCTCAAAGTTGAGACAAGAAATATATTCATCTCATAACCAACACTCCAGTGGTGGAAGGACTACTATTACCACTAAAAAGTAATGTATTTTTAAATGAAATTTAAATATGACTATGGTTATTATATAATCTAAATTATTACAGTTATTACATGTGATACACACACACACACACAACTTGACAGAGTTTGGCATTTCTGGTGACCAATCATTTTATTGGAAAATGAATATTCACAGAAATATACTGATATTATATTAATGAAATCCTTTCTTTTATTTACAAGATGCTAAATATTGTGGAAGTAAAAAGCAAATAATTGTTTAGCTAGCTATATTAGTTGAGAGTCTTTTGGTGGCACATGACAGAGACCCAATTTAAACCAGTAATTAGTTAATTTACTTACTTGGGATTGTTTGCCATCCAGAGGGATTTCTGTGCTCAAAATATATCTTCATAAATCTGTGTTTCTCTACAACATGGATATACACTTTCTTCTGTAGATATAATCTTCAAACAGGATCTATCCCCATAGAGTAAGATCACAGTTTATATTCTAGCAATTTAACAAAACTAAATAGCAAGTAACTGTGAATAGTTTCAGCAAAAGTCTTTGGATATTCCATAAAAATGGAATGATACAATATGTAGTCTTTTGTGACTGAATACTTCCATTTGTATAGTGTTTTCAAGGTGCATCCATACTTCAGCATGTGTCAGTACTTTATTCTTTATTGTTGCTAAACAATATCCCATTTTGTAGATATAGAGCATTGTATATATTCGTCAGTTGATGGCAATTTGGATCATTTTCAATTTTAGGTTATTATTAATATTGATAGTGCTGCTATAAATATAGAGAAATGAACACACATTGTATACAAGTCGTGTGTTCATTTCTCTTCAGTGTATACCTAGGAGTGGAATTGTGGAATCACATGATAACTCTGTTTAACTGTTTGAGGAACTTCCATACTGTTTTCCAAAGCAGCAGCTGCACTATTGTACATCACCACCAGCAGTCCATGAGGGTTCCAATTTCTCTTCATTCTCACCTCCACTTGTTATTATCCATCTCTTAGATCATAGCAATCTTAGGTGATGAGAAGTGGTTTCCAGTTATGGTTTTGATTTGTATTTCCCAAATAACTAATGCTGCTTAAATTTTTTTTCATGTGCTAATTGACCATTGTATTTCTTATTTGGGGAAATGTCTATTCAAATCATTCTCCATTTTTAAATTGGGCTGCCTTTTATTGTTGAATTACAAGAGATTTTTATGTATTCTGAGTGTAAATCCCTTATCAGAGACATGATTTGCATTTTTTTAAATTTTGGTTTTTTTTTTTTTTTAGACCATTTTTGCTATAAGGCATGTTCACTCACCAGAGAGAGAGAGGGAGAGAGAAAGTGAGAAATTACCTCCCAGGGAGGAAAGCCATGCTAAAATCCCCTTTCCTCCATTCTCCTCTCAGGATTCTGGGCATTCACTCACTCATGCCTGGCACAAGTTTCAAGTTTAGGGGTCCTTGACTCAAACCATGGTCAGCCACTTGGGAATCCAGCACTTTAACCACTATGCCACCTGCTGGCCCTGAATTGCAATTATTTTGTACAATGCCATGGAGTACCTTTTAAATATCTTGATAGCATCATTTGCAGCATAAGTTTTTAAATTTTGAGCCAGTACATTTTTTTGGTTTTTTTACCTTGTGCTTTGGTATCATGTGTAAAGATCCATTGCCTAAGTCAAAGTCATGAAGATTTATATTCATGTTTACTTCTAAGGGTCTTATCTTAGCTATTACATTTAGATCTGTGATCTGTTGTGACTTAATTTTTTAAATGATGTGACTTAGGAGTCCAAGCTCATTCTAATACATGGGTATATTCAGTTGTCCTAGCACCACTCATGGAAAATACTATTCTTTCACCCAGTTAATTTCCTTGGCATCTTTGTCTATAACCAACTGACCATAAATAGGGAAAATTGGTAGACTATAATTTTCTCCCAGTGATCTGTTCTGTCTTTATGCCAGCTCCACATGCCTTGGTTACTATAGTTTTTAGTAAATCTTGAAATCAGAAGTATGTCTGAAAAGTGTCCTTTCCAAGACTGTTTTAGCTATTGTTGGCCCTTTGCTTATGATATGAATTTTAGGATAAGTATATCAATCACTGCAAAAATATTATTGTATTTTTATAAGAATTTTATTGAATATATAAAACACTTTGAGTAGTATTACCATGTTAACAATATTAAGTTTTCTGATCTATGAGCATAGAATCCCTTTTTTTATTTTTTTAATTTATTTATTTACTTATTTTTAATAGTTTCCATTGTATAAGTCTTGCACTTCTATTGTTAACTTTATTCTTAACTACACTAGTTTCCCCTTATTCATGGTTTTGCTTTCCATGGTTTCAGTTACTCACAGACAGCTACAGTCCTAAAACACATGACTATGGGATAAGATACTTTGAGAGAGAATAAAAGACCACTTTCACATCTTTTATTGCAGTATATGTTATAATTCTTTTTATTTTTGAATGTGCGCTCATCAGAGAGACAGAGAGAGGGAGAGGAGAAAGCACATCCCATGGGAATGGTCATGCTGCATGCAATCTCGTCTCTTCTATCTCTCCCTCCTCCCAGGATTTTGTGCATGCATGCACATCAACCTGGCATGTTTCTCAAGCCTCCAGATCCTAGAGTTGAACCATGGGGTCATCCATATGGGATCTAGTTGCCTTAATCACCAAGCCACAGTGCTAGCCCAAATAATTGTGCTGTTATATTATTAGTCATTGTTGTTAATCTCTTACCATGCCTAATTTAAAGTTGAACTTTATCATAGGTATGAATATATAGGGGAAAAGTAGTATATATGGAGAGAGAGTTTGGCAGTATCTGTGGTTTTCAGGCACCCACTGAGAGTCTTGTAAACCAAGTCCCACTGTTAAAGGAGGGCTACTTTATTGTGTGAGATTTTTCTCTTATAAATTTGCCTCTGAGCACTGCTTTTACTATAATCCCATAAATTTTGATATGTTGTGTTCTCATTTGGGAATTTTATCCCATCACCATTTCAACGTTTTTGAAATTCTTGCTCTTGCATACATCTCCTGTTGTTCTCATTTTTCTGTCAGTTCCATGGTAACAATTACCACTTTTCCTGAGTAGATTGCTGAGGGAAGGGTCCCTCACTCCTACCTTCACTTCTGGTCTGTTTGATGCCATTTGGCTTCATTTTACACAAAATGGTCACTGTCCTTAAAAAGCTTTTTAGATCAATAAAATCAGTGACCTTCAAAAAAAAGTATTTTGGGATTTATCATTATTTTTCCTGTGATCCATTCATTATTTAGGAATATTAATTAATTTACACATATTTGCAAGTATTCCAAATTCTTTGCAATTATTTATTTACAATTCCATCTCATTGTAGCCAGTGAAAATATTTTGTATAATTTGAAGTCTTCCTAAAGTTATTGAATCTTGTTTTATAGACTAATGTTGGTCTGTTTTAAAGAATGTTCAATGTGCATTTAGGAAGAATATATATTCAGCTACTGTTATGTGGAAAATTCTGTTTATATATTTTAGATTTCAGTGGTTTCTAGTGTTGTTTATGTCTTCTATTTTTTTTTGTTTATATTCTGCATATTTTATCAAATATAGAATGTGGGTATTTAAGTCTCCAAAAATCATTCATTCCTTGTTTTTCCTTTCAATTCTGTCAGATTTTGTATAATGTATTTTGGGGATCTATCAGGTCCATATATGTTTACAATTATTATATTTTATTACAAAATCTTTCTTTCTGATAACAGTTGCTTTAAAGTTTATTTTGCCTGATATTAATATGACCACTTGGGACCAGCAGTTGGCATAATGGCTATGTCACTGGACTCCCATATAATTTGATCATGGTTCGAGTTCCAGACCAAGTGGCTTAAACTCACATTGGGCACGTGTGTGTGTGTGCCCAAGAGCCCAAGAGCCCAAGAGGAGAATGGAGGAGAAGGGGGATGATCATCCCTGGGGGATGATTTTTCGCTTTCTGTCTCTCTGTCTCTGTCTTTCTGGTGAGTGCACACACCCTAAAGCAAAAACCTCTCCAAAAAAAAAAAAATTACTCAATTTTCCGTTTATTTGTATGAAATATCTTTTTTCTTTTCTTTCCTTCTTTTCTTTTCTTTTCTTTTTTCTTTTTATCACTTTTCTTTTCTTGTCAGAAGGTATGTGCACTCATCAGAGAGAGACAGAGAAGGAGAAAGCACCACTCCCATGAGATGTAGTAATATTTCAATCCCCTCTCCTCCATTTCTCCATCTTGTTGTGATATGGGGCATGTGTAGACACACACCCAACATGTTTCTCAGGCTTCCAGATCCAGGATTGAACTGCAGTCAGCCATGTTGGATCTGATTCCCTTAACTACTATACTAGGCTATGGGAAAAGCCCTGAAATATGTTTTTTTCTTCCTTTCAATCTACTTGAGTCTTTAAATCTAAAGCATGATTCCTATAGACAGCATAGAGTTCATCATTTTCATACATTCTACCAATATTTACTTTTAATTGTCCTGGACCTTGAAAAACTTGGGCGTACGTAAGATCATATGCCCAAAGTCCCAAGAGGAGAATGGAAAAGAAGGGATTGTGGTCACTTTTATCCCCTCTGAGGGGTCTTTTCTTGCTTTCTCTCTCACACACTCCAGCAAGTGCATTCACCCTATAGCAATTAAAAAATAAATAAATAATATAATGAAGCAGTTATGAAATATTGATAATCCCCCCTCAAAGTTTTCATTGGTATTTTTGATGTTGTTGTTTGTTTAGTATCTTTTCTGATCTAATTCTGTAAAGTGTGTATTCTTTCTAAGTGTGTCCATTGTAATCTGCTCATTTAGCTTGGTGTTCAGTTAACAACTGGACAGAGGTATCTTTAAATGCTTGAAACCAATGTCTCTTAGTTTTCACTGAGTCTCTGTGTGTGTTTGGGAATGCCTTCAATGTGGTAGGAAATTTACAGTTCAACCTTAGCCTTCAATTTCTGCTCACACAGAATTTCATAGT